TGTATCTCCCCAGATTTTCACGGCGCTTCTTTCTTATTTCATGGAGTTCCCTGGCCCCCGCGTTGGGCCGCCCGCCCGCCCCCCCCCCCCAGGAGTTGGTCGGGCGCGGCAACGAGCAAGTCGGGCCTGTCCCCCTACAGGGAGATTGTCGACGAAGAATTAAAAATACCACCAAAATAGCCCAATAGGGTCAAACAATGTTTAAACAAAAATAGTCACCAGACTTTTTTGGGACTATTGTTTTGATAATTGTTGGGGTATTTTTTTTGTTTTTCGTCGGAAATCCCCCTGTAGGGGGACACGCCCGACTTAAGGCAACGAAAGGGGTGATGACTGGGGGGGGGGGGGGGGATGTCATGCGGGGGCCAGATATCTCCCAGATTTCACGGCGCCTCTTCTTTTCATTGCGCCCCTGGCCCCCCGTTGGGCCGACCGCCCCCCCCCAGAGTTGGTCGGGTGCGGCAGCGAGTAAGTCGGGCCTGTCCCCCTACAGGGAGATTGTCGACGAAAAAATACTTCCAAAATAGCCCAACAGGGTCAAACAATGTTTAAACAAAAATAGTCCCCAGACTTCTTTTGGACTATTGTTTTGATCATTGTTGGGGTATTTTTTTGTTTTTCGTCGGAAATCCCCCTGTAGGGGGACACGCCCGACTTAAGGCAACGACATGGGTGATGACTGGGGGGGGGGATGTCATGGCGGGGGCCATGATATCTCCCCAGATTTCACGGCGCCTCTTCTCATTTCATTGCGTCCCTGGCCCCCGCGCTGGGCCGCCCGCCCCCCCCCCCCCCAGGAGTTGGTCGGGGGCGGCAACGAGTAAGTCGGGCCTGTCCCCCTACAGGGAGATTGTCGATGAAGAATTAAACATACCCCCAAAATAGCCCAACAGGGTCAAACAATGTTTAAACAAAATTAGTCCCCAGACTTTTTTGGGATTATTGTTTTGATCATTGTTGGGGTATTTTTTTTGTTTTTCGTCGGAAATCCCTCTGTAGGGGGACACGCCCGACTTAAGGCAACGACATGGGTGATGACTGGGGGGGGGGATGTCATGGCGGGGGCCATGATATCTCCCCAGATTTCACGGCGCCTCTTCTTATTTCATTGCGTCCCTGCCCCCCCCCGTTGGGCCGCCCGCCCCCCCCCAGGAGTTGGTCGGGGGCGGCAACGAGTAAGTCGGGCCTGTCCCCCTACAGGGAGATTGTCGACGAAGAATTAAACATACCCCCAAAATAGCCCAACAGGGTCAAACAATGTTTAAACAAAAATAGTCCCCAGACTTTTTTGGGACTATTGTTTTGATCATTGTTGGGGTATTTTTTTGTTTTTCGTCGGAAATCCCCCTGTAGGGGGACACGCCCGACTTAAGGCAACGAAAGGGGTGATGACTGGGGGGGGGGGGTGTCATGGCGGGGGCCATGATATCTCCCCAGATTTCACGGCGCCTCTTCTTATTTCATTGCGTCCCTGGCCCCCCCTTGGGCCGCCCGCCCCCCCCCCCAGGAGTTGGTCGGGTGCGGCAACGAGTAAGTCGGGCCTGTCCCCCTACAGGGAGATTGTCGACGAAGAATTAAACATACCCCCAAAATAACCCAACAGGGTCAAACAATGTTTAAACAAAATTAGTCCCCAGACTTTTTTGGGACTACTGTTTTGACCATTGTTGGGGTATTTTTTTGTTTTTCGTCGGAAATCCCACTGTAGGGGGACACGCCCGACTTAAGGCAACGACATGGGTGATGACTGGGGGGGGGATGTCATGGCGGGGGCCATGATATCTCCCCAGATTTCACGGCGCCTCTTCTTATTTCACTACGTCCCTGGCCCCCCCGCTGGGCCGTGCACGTGCCGCCGGCCATGATTGGCACCCCCCCCTCTTTCTTAGACACCCCCCTCTTGGCCGCTCCCGAGAGTTGGGCTCGCCCAGGGCAGGACTCGCGCGGGGCTGCCCGGGCCGACCCTCGAGGCCGGAGGCTTTGGAGGACGGCGCCCCGCGCCCGGCGGAGGCTGGCAGGGGGGACTCGAGGGCGGCTCTCCGCCGGCGGGGAGGCGTCCGAGGCCAGCCGCAGAGGAGCCAGATGCCCGGTGAGGTCGAAGGCCAGCGTGCCCAGGAGGCGGCAAGCGATTGCGTAGGCCCTGCGGCCAGTGCCCCCGACCCCAGCTGCAGGCGCTACCTCCCCCTGGGGCCCCCGCTGGCGCCCCCCCTCCACACAGGACCCGCCCGGACCCCCGGCGGGGGCGGCGTGCTGACCTGCAGGACCACCCCTCCCGAGCAGCAGGCGGGACCTCCCGTGGAACCCCCTTACTTCCCAGGACCACCCTCCCACGAGGGGGACCCTCTGAGAGGTCCAAGGCTCGCATCGTGCTCAGGAGATGGTACTTTCACCCCCTGACGATGCCAGGCGTGAGCAGGGGGAGGGGGGAGGGGTCAAGCTAGGTGCGCTCGCGTCATATCTGACATCCTACCCCTCCCTCCCATCCCTTACCATGGCGCAGATCCCCTCTCTACTTGCACAGTCGGATGTCAAGCAGGGCGATGATCCCGAGAGGGTACGCGATGCATTGTAGAGCACGGCATGGCATGGCGTAGAAGAGCACCGCGAAGCGTAGTATCAACCTAGCATTGCATTGCATGCCGTGGCATGGCACGGGTAATGACGCCAGTGCTGCAGCGGGAGCACGAGTCGAAACGAGCGGAAGCGCGGAAATGATGCCAGCGCTGCAGCGGGAGCACGATTCGGAACGAGCGGAGGCCCGAAAATGAGGCCGGCGCCTCAGCGAGAGCAGCATTTTGGAAAAACAAAAAAAAAATGCAGGCGAAAACCCAACTCCGGGGAAACTTGTGCGTAAAAAAGCAGGACGCGGGGGGGGGGGGGGGGGGGGGGGGGCGAACACTCCCAGCACGTCATCAGGGGAAGAGGGAGAGTAGTATTCATATTGAGTAATTGTGGAGGGGGCCGGTTCTCGGCCCTGTGGCGCCCCGCCGCAGAAAGTCCAAAGCGCAGCGGATATGGATACTCCTGATTTCGTAACAAAAGGGAGGGGGTCTGGACCCTCCAAGACAAGCCATTTCAGACCTCACCCGTGGGAGAACCCTCCAAAACATCGTCCCCAGACTCCCCAGGCCCTCCAAGATAGCCTGGAAGAGACCCTCCCCCGAAATGAGGCCCCCCTCCCTTTATTTATCACGAAATCTGGAGTACCAATCGCGCCCGCGTTTTGGGGGCGGCCCGCGGCGAGGCGGCCCACGGGGCGGCGACGGCTGCAGCACGAGAGGTCGCCAGACTGGCAGGTAGGCCTATAGACGACGGATGGCGACCAGAGGCGCCCACCCTCCTCCTCCTCCCCCTCCTCCCCTCCTCCTCCCCCTCCTCCTCCCCCTCCCTCCTCCTCCCCCTCCCCCTCCTCCTCCTCCCTGTCCCTGGCACGATGGCAGCAACATCACCGCCAGACCGGCAGACAGACCGAGTTCCTTATCGGGTATAGCCAGGACCCCGGGTAAGGGGACCCGGTTGGTGGTGGGGCCCTGGGGCCCCTCAATTGGCCAGATTCACTAAACCAGGCTTGCCGTAACTGGTGTTTTTCGGGTGAGGGCAGTTCCGGTTCGCGGAGCGGGGCGGGGGGGGGCGCCCCCCGTCACACATCACGAAACGAGGTTCCACTAAACCCAGTTCTGCCAACGCCCGACCTTAGAGGAGAAGCATTTTCATTCATTCACCCCGCTCGCACGAGGGCGGGCCCATGAAGGGCGCGAGGGAACAACGCAAGCTCCCGTGCACAGCTCAGGCAAGCGGGAGGAAGGATGGGGGAGGGAGCACCGAATTGCAAAACGTATCTGGGACATTGTCACGTGCCCGCAGCTGGGGAGGTGGACGGAGCTGGGGCAAGTCCAGCCACACCCGCGCCCTCGCGGGCAGGGCCGCTCGACTGCGGCCCGCGCGAGTGCGGCTATACGCGCTCCGCTGTGGCACCCTGGGCGGATGCCTCGCGCCGGGCCGGCAGGCAAAAGGCCGCGCTCTCCCGAGCTTGGCATCGCTCGGACGTGTGCGTTTTTTCCTCGGCGAGGACCATCGAGGAGCATTCTTGATCACTTGGCGAAAAAAACACGCACGAAGCCGAAAAAAACACAGGGAATGGACGTCCGAGCAATGGCCAGCGAGCCGCGATCGAACACCCAGGCCACCCCGGACGTGCTCGGGCCGTGAAGCGATCACGACGGGAGGTCTTGGGCAGTTTTTGCGGCCTCGGGGGGCCCTCGCCGGACCCCCAGGCTGCCAGACGCCAGACATGTGCTCAGCATGACAAACCGGCCCTGGGGAGGGGGCCGGCATGCCGGGGGACCGCGTGTATGTCACCACCGACCAAAGCGCCCAAACCCAACACGAAGGCCTCCATTGGCCCTCCACTTCCAGTGGGGTGGGGGCTGGGGAACGTTGAACAAGACACATGTGGAACTCGTACCCCCCCCAACCCGAGATTCGTGTCTTCGGGTTGGGTTGGGGTGGTCTGGTAGGCAGTCAGTGCGGAAAAATCCAGGACGCCGCATGTCGGGGGCGATGGCATGCATGTGGCCGTGCCCGTCGCTCGTGGGTCGGGGGAAGGTGAGGCTCGAGCTCGCCAGGACTCGGGCGTGCCGGTGCTTTCTGACGGGCCTGCCCAGGGCTTTGAGGGTCCAGGTTCCGTGGGATGCTTGCAGGAAAAAAACCCACAGTCTGTGGGAAAAACACACAGCGTGTTGTTTTTTTCCCACAGTGTATGTGTTTCCCACAGTGTGTGTTTTTGTCGCATAGTGTGTGTGTGTGTGTGTGTGTGTGTGTGTGTGTGTGTGTGTGTGTGTGCGTGTGTGTGTGTGTTTGTCCCACAGTGTGTTATGTGTTTTTTTTCCCACAGAGCCCCACGTCAAGAATTGTGAATGGGCCTCGGCCTGTTCCTGACCGCCCCGTCGGGCCGACCAGAGTCCCCCGAGCCCGAGTCATCCTACGCCTCCCCGAGCGAGGTGCTGCTGGTGACGTCGCCGTACCACATGCCGCGCGCGCGGGCGCTCGCAGAGGACGCGCTGGGCCCCGCCGGCATCGCGGTGTCGCCGCGGCCGGTGCCCGGGGGGCTGGAGGAGCCCGTGGAGCCCCGGTGGAAGACGTGGCGGGACCGGCTGCGGCTCTTGCTGTGGCGCTCGACGGGGATGTTCTGGGATCAAGTCGAAGGGGCAAGGGGGAGGATGGCGTCGCAGGTTCTCAGGGGTCTCGCCTCGGAATGCTCTCCAGCAGCTGCGCCTCGTCGAGGGCCTTGCGGGGACGCCCAGATCGTCCCGAACGGCCGCCGGAGGCTCGAGTTATGACCCGGAAAGCAACAGGCGAGGACAGGATCAGGTGTGTGTGTGTGTGTGTGTGTATGTGTGTGTGTGGGGGGGTGTCATGCGTGCGTGTGTGTATGTGTGTGAATGTGTGTGAAGGTGTGTGAAGGAAGGTGTGAGTGTGAAGGTATGTGTGTGAGTGGGTGTGTCATGCGTGTGTGTATGTGTTTGTGTGTGTGTCTGCGTGCGTGTGCGTTTCTACGCCTCGACGCTGCGCGCGAGGCCGCGACGCCAAACAGTGTGTGTGTGTGTGTGTGTTGTGTGTGCGTGTGTTTGTGTCATTGTGTGTGTGTGTGTGTCTGTGTGTGTTTGTCTGTGTGTGCGTGTCTGTGTGCCTGTGTGTATGTGTGTTTGGGTGTTCTCCGTCCTGTCGCTGCGCGACGGGCCGTAGCGCCCCTAACAGAGTGTGTGTGTGTGTGTGTGTCTGTATGTTTGCGCGTGCGTGCGTGCGTGCGTGCGTGCGTGCGTGCGTGTGTGTGTGTGTGTGTGTGTGTCTGTGTGTTTGTTGCGTGTGTTTGTGAGCGCGTGTGTGTGTATGTTGTGTGTGCGTGTGTATGGGTGTGAGTGTGGCTATGGGCGTGTGTGTGTGTGTGTGTGTGTGTGTGCGGGGGTGGGTGGGTGGGGGGTCAGACTTTCTACGCTTCGACGCCGCAGTGCTCGAGGCCGCGGCACTAAAAAGTCAGCGTGTGTTTGTGTGTGTGCGAAGGTGTGTGTGAAGGTGTGTGAAGGTGTGTGGAGGTGTGTGAAGGTGTGTGAAGGTGGGTGTTGGTGTGAGTTTGTGTGTGTGCATGTTTGTGTGTGCATGTTTGTGTTTGCGTGTGTGTGTGTGTGTGCTCGCGTGTGCCCCCCCCCCCGGCAGCCCCGCGCATGCCTCGAGGCACGGCGCGCAGCCCCCTCCCGCTCCCCCTTGCTCCTCCCGGTCCGCCTCCCTTCCGGGGCAACGCCTACGTCGGGCCTGTCCCTCTGCGGGGGGAATCTTCAAAAGTAGTCATCATCATCATCATCATCATCATCATCATCATCATCATCATCATCATCATCATCATCATCATCATCATCATCATTATCCCCCTCCTCCCCCTCCTCCTCCTCCTGCTCCTCCCGGTCCGCCTCTTCAGGGGCAACGCCTACGTCGGGCCTGTCCCTCTGCGGGGGGAAGCTTCAAAAGTAGGCAAACAAAACACACAGGGCTGGGGACTATTTTTTGAGTATTTTCTGGAACATGTTGGAGGATTTGGGGGACATCTCTAACTTATCCCCAGACATCTCCCTGTAAGGGGAACGCGCCCGACTCAGGGCAACGTCGGGGGGACACGTCGGGGGGACACGTTGGAGTCGAAAATCTAAGGAAAACCTTCTCAACCCGAAAAAACAAATAGCTCCCCGAGCTGCGCTTTTTTCCGGGCTGAAGGTTTTTTTGTTTTCGGGCTGGAGCCGAAAATCTAAACAAAACCCTTGCAACCCGAAGAAAAACCCAGCTCTTCTGGGGGGGAATTGGTAGTCCCCAAACGTGGTGGTGACAACACCTGGCGGTGAGTCTCGGGCGATTTGGTGTCACCACCCGGTTTGGGGACTCGTGCGGTTTTCCGAGGATGTCCCGAACACTGGTGGGGTCCAGGAGTCACAGAACCCGGTGGTGACCCCGCGTCCCCAAACCCAGCGGTGACCTTTTTGGGGATTCCAGGTCGCCACCTGGCATCTCACCACCCGGTCTGGGGGTTCCCAAGGGAAGGGAGACCCCCAGTCGCTCACTCCTCGCCGAGGGGGCCCTGGCAGCCCACCCCGCCCAGCACCGGGCGGCTCCTCCCTCGGGGGCCCGTCGCCGATCTGTCGGCGGCGCATCTCCGGAGGGACAAAAAAAAAACACAGACGCAGTGAATCGTCGATTCCCCAGGAAATATTCACCACAGACAAAAGTACCACTACCACCAGCTAGGGGGGTGGCTGTCCCACCCTCTCGAGCTGGTGGCACCTCGTTCCGGGCATGCCTCCAGGGAGTTCCCGGAAGGAGGTGCCACCAGCTCGAGGGGAGGGAGCGGCCACCCTCCTGGCTGGTGGTAGTGGTACTGTTGCCCCCCCTGAAATATGGGAAAGATATGGCAAGTGGGCGGGACGACAAGACCCCAAAAATACAGGAAAAGATGGGGAATGTTCTCATTTGTGTGTGTGTGTGTTTATTTGTGTGTGTCCCAGGGCCCCTTCAGTATCGCCGAGTCCGGCTCGACGCTTCCCCCCCGGAGCTGGTGCCCCTTCTAGCCTTTTTGCCCCTCCCCTCGTCGAGGCTGGACCTGCTCCCCCTGGCGCGCGCCGCGAGGCTGCCTGGGCGCACCAAGCGGGGGCGGGTGGAGGGCCACCCTCTCTGCGCCAAGGACGGCCCCGTCTCCGCCGCCCTCCCCCTCCCCCTCCGGCTCCTCTGGCTGCTGACCGTGCAGGCAGGCGTGCCGGCACTCCTTCCGCGGGACTCCCCTGCCCCTCTGCATTGGGCCCATTTCGTCCTTCCTGCTCTCGTGTCCTTCCCTCCTTCTTCTCCCCTCTCTCCTCTCGTTTCCTTTCCTTTCCTTCTTCTTCTCTCGTTTCCTTCCTTCTCTCGTTTCCTTTCCTTCTGCTTCTCCCCTCTCTGGGCCTCGCACTGCCCGCTGTGGGTGCACGCGTGTGTGCAGGTGGAGGCGCCTCTCGGAGGACGCCTGCCTGCCCCCCCCGCTTCGGGGGCGTCTGGCGCGGCCTCCGAAGACAGCCAGGGGGGGGGTCCTCTGAGAGCTCGGCATCGCTCGGACGTGTGCATTTTGTGTCGGTGGGGACCACTGGGGAGCATCTCGGACCACCCTGCGAGAAGATCGAAACGCACAGAACCGAGAAACACACACGGTGAACGGACGTCCGAGCGATGGCAGGAGAGGCCCTCCGCGCTTTGTGGGCCCCGGAAACGGCAGGGCTGTTTTTTCACCGTTTCCAAAAAAATGCCCCTTGAAAATGGAAACGGCAAAAAAACGGCGACCGGAAACGGCCAAAAAATGGCTCCAGGATTGGAACCGGAGCCGGAACTGGTTAAGAAACGGCGACGGAACCGGTAAAAAACGGCGTCGGAACCGGCAAAACAACTGCAAAACGGAACGGGTAAAAAAACGGCCCTGTCGTTTCCAGGGCCCACTAAGCCTCTGCCCCCTGCCCTCATTCCGATCCGACCGCCGAGAGGCCCTCCGCGTCCTGCCATGACCCGAACCGCCCGATTCAGCATCGGCTCCGGCCGGCCCGGCTCGATCCCGCTGCTCCGAGGATATCCGGTGCGGCCCGATGCTTGCACACGGCGCTGCTGTGCATCCTGGCGCAGCCGATGCGATTCGGTTTTCCGACTCCGTGCCCCGGTGCCAGCCCGATGCGGCGCAAGGCGACCCGTCCTCCTCCTCCTCCTCCTCCTCCTCCTCCTCCTCCTCCTCCTCCTCCTCCTCCCCCTCCTCCTCCTCCTTCTCCATCTCCTCCTCCCCCTCCCCCTCCTCCTCCTACTGCTTGTTCCGAGCTGAGCCGATGTCTCGGCTCGGCGCCGGCCGGTCCTGCCCCTGGTGCCCCTGCCCTCGCGGGGGGCCGGGCCCCCCCCTGGCAAGAGAGAGCCGCTCAGGATGGGCGTCCCTGGGAGTGCTCCTGTGGTCTGCTCCGTGCCCCGCGATAGTTTTGGGGGGATGCTTGTAGTCTTAAGTCGGGCCTGTCCCCCTATAGGGGCCTTTAGCCTCTTGCATATTTGCAGACGCAGTACACTTAGTTAGGTATACACGTGTATAAACAAAACGGCATATTGGCGTTTCGCGTCGCGCACTTTGGTTTTTTAATTTCGGCAAGCGGGCGGAACAAGTTAGCACAGCTATGATTCCTTGTGCCGTTTTCGTCGTCGTCTTCGTTAGAATGTGTTGTCCCTCTCCCTCCGTCATATTCCCCGCTCCTCTTCATCGTTCTCGCCTTGCCTTGCGAACCCGTCTCCGTTTTTGTTCCCTACTTAGGCTCTGCCTAGAAGGGTTCTTACTCTCTGGGCTTAAAGGGGCCGGGCAGTGGAAAGCGCCCCGGGCGGTTCCCCGAGTATCCGCCCCGCGGTTCCCCCAGTTACATCCCCTTAGCTTAGCGTCGCTTATCTCATCTTAGCTTAGCCTAGCTTAGCTTAGCTTAGCTTAGCTTAGCTTGACCTAGCCTAGCTTAGCTTAGCTTAGCGAAGCTTAGCTTAGCTCAGCTTAGCCTAGCCTAGCCTAGCTTTGCTTAGCTTAGCGCAGCGCAGCGCAGCGCAGCATTAGCATCGCATAGCATATCATAGCATAGCATAGCATAGCACAGCGCAGCATAGCATAGCGCAGCATAGCATAGCGCAGCATAGCATAGTACAGCATAGCATAGCATAGCGCAGCATTGCAGAGCATAACTTAGCTTAGCATCGCACAGCGCAGCATAGCATAGCATAGCATAGCATAGCATATCATAGCATAGCATATCATATCATGGCATAGCGCAGCATACCATAACATAGTATAGCATAGCGCAGGCTAGCATAGCATATCATATCATACCATAGCGTAGCATAGCATAGCATAGCACATCATATCATAGCGCAGCATATGATATCATAGCATAGCCTAGCATAGCATAGCGCAGCATAGCATATCATAGCA